AGCCCAACCCGTTCGGGGCGGGGCCCGCGGGCACCAGAGAGAGGATGGCCAAGCACGAGGAGGCTGTGCGCAGCTCCGGGCAGGGGCCGCTTGCTTCGGGTGGCCCGCAAGATTGCCGGGAGTAGGCAGAGGGAGGAGGACGCTCACCCGTTCCGGTCTGGCGCTCCCTTCTCTCCACACCCACACGCCTCCCGCTCCACGCTGGCGGCGCAGCTGCTCCCACTGCCACTGCCACCGCTGCCGAAGCTCGCGCCGCTGCCGCCTTGGCTGGGCGCGATCACGTGACGCGGCCCGCGGGGAACCTGAGGGCGGGCGGGCGCGCGCGCGCGGAGGAAGCGCCGCTCGGACGGGGACTGGGAGCCCAGCGGCAACGAGAGGGCGTTTAAGGGGAGGACCCGGCGAGCGCGTCCCCGGCAGGCGAGCGCGCGCCCGGCGTTTAGAACTTGCCGCGCGGTGGGGAAAGGGTGGCCAGAGTGAGGAGCCCGGGGACTCGCGCCTCCGCGCGCCCCTCCCTCTCTTCCTTCCCCGAGCGCTTCGGCTCGTTGCTGGCCCCCGCCCCTCCAGCTCGCCCCTTCCCTCCTGTCGGTGCCTGCGATTGGCTGGAAGGTTCTGACGTCCGTATTTCCATGACGTGTCGGTGCGGGGAGGGAGGGGGTGGCGGGGGAGGAGGGGGCGGCTCGGGAGCGCGGGGCTGTGACTCCGTCAGTCACAGCTGCAGCTTCGGCGCGGGGCCGGGCTGCTCCCGCGACTTGTGGAGACAAGAGAGCGACGACTGCCGCAGGAGCAGTGCGGACGCCCTTCACCTGGGGCCCAGCCCAAGCACTCCCGGGCCTGCGCCCCTCTAGGGCCCGGAACCTGGGCCGGCGGTCCGGAGCGGGCGAGCGCTCCTGGAGAGGACAGGTTGAGTCGAACCCCAGTCAGCGGCTCCTCGCCGCGTCTCTGCGCCCACTGTACATTGGACTTGTTGCCTGTCCTGGGCTATGACGCACGCGCCGGACGACCAAGTGCTTCCCCGTCGGCTCGCTCCTTGAGAAAAGAGCCCACTCCCCCTAAGGGTGCGAGGCACCCTATCTGGTCCTGCTTTCCGGGTCCACAGATACCGGGGATCCACGCTGCAGCGCCCAAGGGTTTACTCAGGCGTTTGGTCCATGCATGCAGGCCTCGAAAGATCTGTGCTTAAATCCTCGTGTTTTTGTTTTGGGTTTGCTTTTTTTTTTTTTTTTAACTTATGCTTTCTACCAAGCTGATGGTTCGTTTAATTCACTTGTAGCATCTTAACCCTGTACCCTTCATTCCTGGGGTGGGAGGCTGAATGAAGAAAATACTGGGTATCCTGCAGTATTTATATGCGAGAAAGTAACAGTTTTGCTCCGACTTTTCAAGAGATTTTTGCGAGTTAAAAAAGAAAAGCACCCATCTTGATATCTGCTTTAAAAATCAAACGGGTTTTCCTTCCTATACACGCATCTTTAAAGATTTGTATCTTGCCTAGGATACCGTGCTCCATCTTTGTCTAATCGCCTCTGTTTGAACTCAAAATCCCCACTTGCTCAGAGACCTTGTCAGTGTTATTTTCAGTATCACTTAACCAGAACAAAAAGTTCTGCACTCTGCTCCTCTCCCAGCTTCATAGTGGAAGATTATTTGTGTAGTGTTCTCAAAAGCATAACGGCAACAAGAAGTACTCTATTATATGTATGTTCACTCTCTGATAGCATTTATTAAAAATATTTTAAAAGGATTAAAACCAAACCACTTAAAAGAAGTTCAAAAGCTAAAAAGATTCCCAATTGATCCTGTTAAATATTTTTTTTAAAAAATTTCACATATCTCATTAGATTAAATGTTACCAACCCTCTAAGAGCTGTGCCCTTAACATACAAAATGTTAAGAATGAAAGCATTTTTTTCTTTTCTTTAATCACTGTTACAGAATTGGTGAGTACTTTACAATAAATAGCCCTTCCGGATACTATTTCAAATCTGCTTAATAGAAAAACAAATTAACTAAATTTCACTTAGGTAATTTCCAGTATTCTCTCTTCCTGAAATATCTTCCAAATGGCTCAGACACATTCAAGAATCCTTGGCTTTTTTCCAAGTTTTCCTCCAAGGAAGTTACAATAGAAAATTGAATTATGCATTCTACTTTAATCAAGAATTTGACATTAAAGTAATATATGAATCATTACTATAGTACACTAGCAAATGGATAATAGATTAAACTAATATCTGTTCACTTTGTGGATTTGTGACAGTTCTAATTATAAAATGTGTGCTCTAAAAGTGTTGTTTCAGAAATTACTGAGCATCTTCATTACACAATGTAATTTCAATGAAGTTTTACTTATGGGTATACAGATACACCCATAAAAGAATATGTGTGTTTGAAAATATATATTCAGAAATACATACGGATATATGAATATACCCATAAAATAATTGTGTATGTTTGTGTGTGTGTGTGTGTGTGTGTGTATATATATATATATACATATTCTAGAACATATTTGTATGCATTTTAAAGAAACATGAGTCATGATAAACTTTTACTCTCATAATCAAGATAATTATACTGTATTTGTTGGTGTTTAGATTTTTATTCTTCAAATAGAACATAAGAGCTGAAAACAGTATAGAAATAACTGCACATTACATTAAGATATTTAATTTTTCTCCCATAAGCTTAGTATTGAAACCTCTGTAATAGCATATTTCTCAATGTAAAAATCAAGAAAATATTGGATTGCTTAATTAGTGTTTCTTAAAAAAAAAAAAAGAACTACCAGCAATCAATGAAGCCATTGTGTATCACATAACGATATCTTCCTGATCTTAGAACTAATTTATCCCTTGTATTTAACTTACTTAGAGATTTATCAGTGCAAAATAAGGGAAAATGTAATATACTTTACTGTTGAAATACTTAATCTTACAAAGTTCTTCTACTATGATTTTTAGTTTTAACACAAAATTTGTGAAGATACATAAATCCTATGACAAGGTACTATTTGGAATGTTACCACTAAGGAGAGGATTCACATTCAAAATAATATATATGGCAGTTTTTAAAAGTATGTTCCTTTCAATAGGATAAATCTAAATTATATCTTTGCTGGAAAATCAATCAATTTAAGATGTATAACTCATATAGATAGTTTTCTAAAATTATCAGGGTAATTAAGCATAAAAGAAAGCATTAGAATCTTTATTCTCTCAAGAATTCTATCACATGCATCTAACAACAATACAAAAATACATACCAACAGCTGAATATTTTTAATACCACATCCTTTCCCCAAATACACATTATGCATATATGGATATGTCAGTCCTAATCATTCCAGAGCACTAAAGAGAACTGATAGGTGTAGGGAAGGAAAAGGGAGGGATATTAAAAGCTTCATAAAAATAGTTTTATGTATTCTCAAATTTCCATTAACCTGGATCACTAGAGAGAGAGATGTCAAGAGAAACATTACTTAGCTGAAAACCACAGAGAATCGTTATCTATTAGAAACAAATTAATTACATTGCTGAATTAAATGAAGCATAATTACAAGTAAGCCTAAAATAAGAATTTTCAAGTCATATTATGGAAAATTTTTATACATGAAAAATGTGAAATGGTTAGATGTCAACATTTGCCTAGAATTATTTAGCACCTAAATATCTTCAACCCTATCAGATATAAGACCTTTTTTTCTACCCCAAATGTTGTATAGTCTAAGTCATATTGAATGGTTCTAAATCTAAATTCCAGGAGATCAAAAAAGAGAAAGTTCACACTTAAATGTTGTTGAGGTAGATTGCTTAAGGAAAATTTGAATCTGACTTGTACTAAAAAGGATATGTAGAATCCAGCTTGCAAAGGGAGGTGCATAATAGAAATGCTAGGAAAGTTACCTGGGACTTATGAGTTTGCTGCTTTTGTTTTCTTATTCTGTCATTATCCAAGAAGCATATACTTACCTTTGATATCTCTCACCTCCATATGTGGAAATCATTAATTTTTTAATTAACGATGAATTTTGATATATCAGGGTTTTATGAGGTTTGGGATAGATGCTTAAAGTTCTTAACACGATATTTGATGTATAGTAAATGCGAATAAATGATGTCATTGTTATTCAGAGGCATTCATTCTTTACTCTTTATTGCCAAGTTAATATGCTGCAAAAAAAAAAGAATAGACATGTATAATTGTTTGGTTAAATAGGTTATTGTCTTACAACAGAATTGTTTGTTTTCTGTGAGACATACACTGTTTATGATCCTTTTAAAGCATACATCATTTAATCACTGATCCTCATGTAATTTGACATAGTCTAAGCCACCTCAAGGAAGTAAAATCTTAAATTTATTGAATCAGACATGCATTTGGCCAAAAGTAAACAAAAACTAGAGTAATAGCAGTTAAATAGTATCTTATCAGAAGTTCAGACTTAGTGATGGTATGGTTGAGTCAGAGGCTAAACACAGCCATCAATGATCCAGGCTTAACAGTTTTCTACTCCACTATCTCTGGTATATGTTACCAATAAAAAAAAATCAGTTTTTATTTCTTCATATTGATGACAAATCCTAGATTTGTCATATTTTAATGCTTAAATTTTTATATTATTGTTCATTGTTGCCCACTTTTTCTTTGAAACTGTTATGGTGTAGACATGTGGTGTCTCCCAAAAGTTTATGTGTGAGACAATGCAAAAATATTCAGAGGTATAATGACTAAATTATGAGTGCTATAACCTAATAATAATAGTGATTTATTAACTGATATGGATTAACT